AATTATAAATTCATGACTAGTCGTGCTAGGTGCATTTTTTATGGGAAATTCATTCTTAAAAAATGTAGCGTCTCTAGATTCTATGATTGTATCAACAGCCATCTCAGGAACACAAAAATTTACAATTAAAAATCTATAACCCACACTGTGAATAACATAACCAAGAAAAACACATTCAACCGTCTTTGGTCCAAACTTTCGCTTTTTGTTTATTGGCACATTCACCTTTGTCAAACAACCCTAAGTTCACAGGTAAGAGAGATTTAATCTCTTCTTCTCTCATTCCTCGAATGGTGTAATTTCTTTATTCTTTGTGGGCACCCTATTTAGGACATGACATGCTGTCAATATAGCCTCACCCTACCATTCCTTAGATAGCCCCGCAGTCTCTAACATGGCATTAACCAAATCAGTTAGAGTGTGGTTCTTTCTCTTTGCAATTCCATTGGACTGTGGTGAGTATGGTGGCGTCCTCTCATGAATAATTTCATGCACCGCGCAAAACTCAGAAAATTTATTTGAGAAATATTCTCCCCCGCGATCGGAGCGCAAACGCTTGATTTTCTTCTCAAGTTGATTTTCTACCTCAGCTTTATAGACTTTAAAATAATGCAACGCTTCATCTTTAGTTTTCAATAAATACACGTAGCAAAATCTAGTATAATCATCTATAAATATCATGAAGTATCATTTACCGTCTTTAGTCAATTCGCCATTCATTTCACATAAATCAGAATGAACGAGTTCTAATGGTGCCAAGTTCGTCGCCTCAGCAGCCTTGTGAGGCTTGCGCGGTTGCTTCGATTGTACACACACCAGATAGTTAGAATCTTTGACTAAGTTAAATTTTGGGATTCAATTCAGATTTGCAAGCCGCGTGAGACAGCTAAAATTAATGTGACAAAGTCGTGAATGCCATATATTCGACTCATCCGAAATATTAACATTGTTCACTACTTTATTACATATATCATCAAGCAAAGATAAGCGGAACAAGCCTCCGCAATTATAACCTTTTCCAACAAATGTTCCATGTCTCGACACAACACACTTATTGAACTTAAGCATAATTTTAAAGCCATCATGACATATTTGAGAACCGCTAACAAGATTCTTCTTGATAGAGGGGACATCGCACGTTCTTTAATAACACCGTCTTTCCCGAAGTAAACTTGAGCAACCGTACCAACACCAAGAACCATTTCTCATCAAGAAGGCTCTAGTCCCCGCCTAGGCACGATAGGAAGTAAGCAAAGAAACATCAAGCATACACAATGAATATTAGCACCTCTATCCATTCACCACTCGGGTGAAAGACAAAGCTGAAAGAACAAAAGGTAAAGAATTACCATACCCGGATGTTCTGCTCTAGTCTCACTAATCACTATGTTTCTTTGATTTCTTTTCTTGCTTATATTTATGTGCAGGGCACGCACTTGCCCAATGCTCATCACTCCCACAAACAAAGTAACATCCACCTTTTGTTGTTTTTCTTCTTAAACCGAAAGCGGTTTGCTTAGGCTTTGTATTGTTGTTCTCTTACATGTTCTTCTTTTTTTTATTACGGGATGCAAATGAGTGTTTCTTCTGCACCATATTGGCAGCGGAAGACTCAACTCATTTTCTACGGTTGTCTTTTGCTCTCGTCCTCTCCTCAACATCAAGAGATCCAATAAGCTCAGCCACGCTAAACTCTTGTCTCTTGTGTTTTATAGAAGTAGCAAAATCCCTTCAAGAAGGTGGCAGCTTAGCGATTATACCGCAGACCACAAACTTGTCGGGCAACAGACATGGAAAATGTTCTGGTTCCTTTGCTAGCGTCTGTATCTTATGAGCATGTTCCACTATAGAACGGTTTTCAATTATTTTGTAGTCATACAGCTGCTCCATAAGGTACAGCTCACTATCAGCATCAGAAACTTCAAACTTTGCCTCAAGAGCATCACATAACACTTTGCTTGATGTGCAAGATATGTAGTTTTTCTCATACTTAGGATGAAGTGTACTAATCACGGCGCCTCGAAATAGTTTATCGGCAGCCAATAACTTTTGCTCCTCCTCAGGAATAAATTGTTCAGGTTTCCCCTATGCAGCGTGATAGCAATTCATAACAGTCAACCACAACACCATCTTGGCACGCCATATCATAAAATTCTTGCCATCAAAATTATTTAGCTTCAAAGCAGCAGCAAAACCACTGACAGAAAATTGCCTAACATTAGGTTTTTGGCTTGTTAAATAATTAGGCATTTTCATGATCAATTTAATCCAGAAATAAAACATCAGCAGGTTTGTAACGACATATATGTGCATGTGTATATCACTAACAAATGCTACAGCATGCAAGTATGACATACAGATCGGTACAGTAAGAACGCAAAGTGCGATAATCACAGAGATAAGATTGTACCCAGCAGAGGGTCCCATGCCGAGGCATCGAAGGCTTCATTCGCACTAGTCGACATAGTGCGTTGCTCAAAGTCGCGGACCACAGTCGATGCAGGAAGATGTTCGCAGTGCAGTCCCACAAACGGTCACCAAAAAGAAGTCGGCACGAACGATCACCAGGAAGAAGACGTCGGATGAGTAGTCGCGGAATCGCTCCCTAAAAACCTAATCGCCGCACACCCCGTGCAAGGTTCGTAGGCGGACGAGGGTTCCGGAGACACCTGCTCTCTCGCTACTCTGTGCGCGCAGAGATACGAGACGAGGAAAGCCGGAGGGCTGCTGGAATGTGGTCTCACGGAAACGAAGGAAGGAGGAAGGACTAACGGAGGACTTTCTGTTTTATGTCTGCGGCGGGGAGGGAGAGATCCAGCGGATGAATTCAGGAGTCGGAGATACGGAGAGATGGGGAAACGGTAACTAACGCAATCAGTTCGCATCCACCATAAAGGAGAGAAACTCCCGTGATTATGTGGATTAAGTGGCAAAACCTAGCCACGCCCGCCCGCTCGCTCGCCGCCATAGCCTCGGCCCGTCCCGCGCCCGTGGCCCGACCCGCGGCGGCACGCGCGTGCGTGTGGCACTCCTTTGTCCTTTTCTCAGCTTCTCAATTAAGATGGATAATTTGCAACCAAATAAGCTGAGTAAACGTTTAGTCAAAATCTCATACGGTATTAAACTATACAACACTTAATGTTACGTACCATAGAGTTTTATTTGATTTTTATTAAATATTATACGTGCCAAGACCATAATATATCCAACAATTGCAACATCCTGATCTACTTTTGCAATATTCGTGTGCACTTGCAACATATAACTCTAAAATATTTAAAACATTTGAAATATATACTAGCAACATGCATTGTATCCAGTGCGGCCTCCTCCACCGTCTGCATCGAGACGCCACGCCGTAATAAGGCGCTTCTCCTTGCGCTGGCGGCGCCTGTCGCCGTTGTCGGATGGAGCGGGCGACAGAGTAGGAGCAAGAGCAGCGTTGCGGGCGGCGGAGCAGGAGTAGGAGGAGGTTGGGAGGGCAGCAAGAGCAACGGAAGGGAGACATGCACCGGATGGGGCGGACGGATGCCCTTTACACAGCATTTCCGAATACAAAATGCAGTTTTGGAGTTTTTGTCAGCTTAAAAAAGCTATCTTGTTTGGAGGAGCTTCTAGTTTTTTGAACTTTCTATAGAAAAGCTTCCAGAAGCTCCCGAAACAAGACCTCAAACGGATAGAATATGAGAATTTCTTGAAACAAAAGGGACAAGCAAAGGGAAAAAAGAAAAATCAAATCTTTTGTTCTTTTTGGTCCAGCAAGACGGCCCCCGGCGAAAAGCCCAAACCACAAGTGCGACGAGCGCAGGCCCGGCCCACAGAATCAGCCTGACTTGAAATACAAACAAGAAAGTCCCTGCTCTGCAAAACAAATCGAATTTACCCTACCGCCATCGAAGATGACGCTTCCACCCCTCTCCCCCCTACCAAACGCAGAAATTCCATGCTCACAGCTATCCTACGTAGGGGTATATCCGTCATTTAAGCACCTCTTCCCCCACCACCCCGCGTTCGCACACACTGACACACTAGAGCCGCCTCGGCCGTAAAACTCGTGCACAGCGGCCACCCTCGCAAGTCGCGCAACCCTTTCAATTTCCAGTCTATAATTTTTGAGACTTTTCCCTGTGTGTTATTATAAAAGATCGTAATTTTCTTTGTGTCTCTGGAAAAATTCAGCGGTCTTCAGCGCCACTACTTCAACTTTTTCGGGTCCTCCATGCCACTTCCGTTAGTTCAGGCTCTAACGCCGTCAAACTACAGGTGTGAAAAGACGAAAATGCCCTTAAGTTCAAATATGTTATTAATTTTTTTTGAGCATCTTAACGACTTCAAATGAAAAAACTCAAAACTAGAAAGTTGTAGATCTCGTCGAGATCTATAATTTTCATATAAAAATTATTTTCATTTAATTCCGCAAAAAAAATATGATGATTTTTCTAAGATATATTAATCATATCAAATTATATTTTTTTGCGGAATTAAATGAAAATAATTTTTATATGAAAATTATAGATCTCGACGAGATCTACAACTTTCTAGTTTTGAGTTTTTTCATTTGAAGTCGTTAAGATGCTCAAAAAAAATTAATAACATATTTGAACTTAAGGGCATTTTCGTCTTTTCACACCTGCAGTTTGACGGCGTTAGAGCCTGAACTGACGGAACTGACATGGATGACAAGAAAAAGTTAGAGTAGTGGCGCTGAAGACCGCTGAATTTTTCTAGGGACACACAAGAAATTACGATATTTTATAATGACACACAGGGAAAAGTCTCATAATTTTTTCACCCGTTCCCTTCCCTTGGAAAACCACGCACCCACCGAGCCCGGCCGGCCCCAACCACTCCGACCAAACCAAAACCCAAACCCACTCTCCCCCGAAACCCAGGGCCTCGCGTCGTTTGATGCGATTCCGGCGGCGATTGCGAGCGCCTCCACCACCACCCGCTCCCCCGTCCCAGCGTGCGTTCGGGCGATCTCCCCTCTCGCGGCGGGCATGGCTGGCGGCGGCGGCGGCGGGGCTCGCGGTTCCGACAGGGCGGGGGCGGCGCGCTCGCCCACCACCACCACGGCGATCCAGTCCACCATCCAGTCGATCAAGGAGGTCGTCGGCGGCCACTCCGACGCCGACATCTTGGACACCCTCCGCGAATCCAACATGGACCCCAACGAGACGGCGCAGAAGCTGCTTAACCAAGGTACTTTTGCCTCTCCCCTGTTCCCCCCGATCTGGGTCGCCTCGACTCGATCGATCTCGTACCGGTGCCGGGAGCTAGGGGTTTTGGGGCGCTCGCTGAGCCGCATTGGGTCGGCTCTGCTGCTGCTGCACCCGCGGGGGCGCAGGGGATTCCTGCGTACGGTCTAGGGTTTTCGAGCTATGGGGATTTGGGGAGGCTCTTCTAGGTTGGGTCACCGTTTAATGGTTTATTATTGATTAATGATACTATATCACGAGGGTCGTGATTTTGATTAGCCAATGATGTCCACATATATTAATGGTACTCTTGCAGGTCCAAATTATTAACTTTGGTTGTTGGGCTACTTGTATTTTCGTTTTCTATTCTATATAAATCTGTAAAAGGTAGTGCTTACTATTGCTTACAGGGCGTGGTTCTAACCGTCTTATAAAATTAGATATTGTAATGGTCTCCATGAAATTTTTGGGAAGTAAATGAGCTTTGACGTGTTGATATGTGGGATGTTTATTATTTGATGGATGAGAGATGCCATTGTTTCCAATATGTATTGTCTCTACTAGTAAATCTTCTCATGTTTTTTCTTTGTGATTGTAATTCGTCGTTTGTTTGTACCTGCAGACCCATTTCACGAAGTGAAAAGAAAAAGGACAAGAAGAAAGAGGTATCGTTTGCTGTTTGGGTAAATTTTCAGTGTAACTGTAAAAATGAAGGATTAAACCTAAAGCCATTTCCTTTTTGTATTGCTCCTTTTTGTTTGTAGCATACTTGTACATATTTGTCTTGCAATGTTAGGCTTTTCGTGATGTTTTGAAACAATCTAAAGCAAAAAGGCACATTTGGGGTTCTATGCCCTTAAATTGCGTACACACACAGTCACTCAATATGTGCAAAAGAAAACCTGGCCTCCAAAGTCCAAATACTAGATGCAAGTTTGACTTAGGGCAAAGCTAAAATGACTTGCAATTTCGAACAGAGGGAGTAGGAGTAAAATATGATGAGACATACACATTGCTTCGTCACAAGACAATGCATTCCACAACACTTTATTTACTCTTATGTGTCCCTCTCTTGCTTTTTTCCTTGTCATCCCCTGACCCTACCTTGTAAAGAGCTTTTGGCACTGGCTATGAAGAAACAAAATTAGTTCTCTATCAATTGAGGAAACATGTTAGGTTTATTGCTTCTTTGTTAAAGTGTGTAATGCATGTTATGAAGTTTCAATAATGCTGAAAATCATATATTGCTATTCTTTTATTCTCTGTTGTGCTGAAAAAAAATATTGCATTGTTAGAGTGCTGGCCAGAAGAGCTTTGCTGACAGTACTGCACAAGTTGAGCAGAACTCACAATGGATGAAGCCACACACACAAAGGATGGAAAATGATCAAAGAAGAACTCCCAATCAGGGTCAGATGTCAGGTAACATAATTGAGGGCCACCATTTGTAATTCTGATCTTATGTTTAGTAACATAGAGTAGATATGCTTCTTTTGCTGCCAAGATAGTTCCAATAATCTTTATATATTTGTAGCAATACAGCTTCTAGATAATGATGAAACATATAGCTTCCTGTTTTCCATGGCAACCTTGTTTGTCTCCAGTTTGCTTGTCTTTGCTCCTGGCTTCCCATTACAAAGCTTCTGCAGTTTTCACATATGGCGTGATATATGTGCAATATTATGGTTGTGTAACTTGCAGGTTTCCACCTGACTGTTAACTGATTGCTTGATGCAGGCCCTAGTCGTGAATTTCGGGTTGTGAGGGACAACAGATTTCAACATGGTGTGGTGGAGAACAGACCAGAACTAGGACACAAAGGTTCAGCAAATGTACAAATGTCTGATAGGAGGTATTGTTTGTGTGACAAATTTTGTCGCTGCTCTTACTCTCCTGTGCACTCATTTACTTGTCAAACAATCATGTCATCATTTTTTAGTTCCGGTTAAGTTGTATACTGATTATAATGCAGCTATCAAGTACTTATTCAGCTTCCTAATATTTCTTTGTAGCTAAAGGTTATCTCTTCGAGTGTAGGCATCATATCGCCTCCTCTATCAAACCCTAATTTGATAATGTGAAAATGAATAAGTGCTTTAGGTTCGATGTTTCTTTGTCTGTTCCTATGGTACATGAATAAATCCTTTGAAACGGTAATGGTACATTTCTTGAGGTAAATAGCGCATTCAGACAGGTAACCGCGTTGACTGAAACCTCTCTGTTGCTTTTGACTTTAGTTTTATGTGATGGCTATTGGAAAACAGCTATTGACGTGCCTGAACCGTGACTAGGGGCTCATGTTGGGTTTCAACTCTAGCCTACCCCAACTTGCTTGGGACTAAAAGGCTTTGTTGTTGTTGTTGTTGTTGTTGTTGTTTATGTGATGGCTATGGCCATTTTGTTGTCTATTTTGTAACTAGGTTCCAGAGCCGTAATACATTGACCAAATGTCCAAAATACAGTTATGAAAATTGCTATCTTTCTTAATTTTTTTGTCAGCTGTTTTGCATATGAACATCTTGTTGTAATCAAACTAATACTTTCCTTACTGGGTTGTCTATGTTCAGTACCGTTCAGTCTGGTCGAAACCGCTCACCTGCTACAACCTCAGACTGCCAGATCACACATCAAAATGCTACGCAGAACTCCCACTCTGACACAACTCAAGGGAAGAGGGATGGTCAAGGTACTACACAGAAGCATGCGAGGCCATATTTGAAGAACTCTCAGAACGAGCAGCATTTTCCAGGTTCTGACCCAGCTCATGGGTCAGCCAATGTTAGAATTGCTGGTGGAACTGTTGGACCTGCTCGACGTCATGTTGGAGTTATTAATTCTACTAGGCAATTTGCTGGCCGTTCGGGTTCTCAGATGCATGCGCCAAGTGGTTCTTCTGATGCAAATATTCAGAGGGGGAGTTTTACCTCAGTAGGGGCATCTGGGCGTTACCCAGCCTTTATGTCTAGAAACATTCAACAAAACCAGAGACCTGATACAATATTTCGTGTAAGGCCCACTGGTAGATCTTTTGTTGCACAAAACATCAACAGGTATCACCAGGGTCCTACTAGCAACCAAAAAGGTATCGTCTGCCAGTGATGTCTATGCTTTTTTTTTTTTGTCAGCAGAAGAGGTGATATCAAAATGTTAGTTTTTGTCAGCAGCAACATTGTAAGGGCTTGTTCAGATAATCCCCAATCTGAGGGGATTGGAGAGCATTTTGGGGGATACAATCCCCTACAAGTCAAAATCCCCCTCAATCCCCTTCAATACTCTCCAATCCCCTTGGATTGAAAACCAAACAAGCCCTAATTTTTTTTTTTGAAAAATTATATATACAAGCGATGTGCTTTATATCTCTTAAGTCCGTAAGCACACATACTGCAGATATTTTGATAGACAATTATTTCCCCAAGTGGTTTTAAACAATTTTAGTACTGGGTTTAGTAGATTGTATTCCAGGAAACCACATATTGTGCTCTCCATTTTTTTTTTCTTTCCATGTACATTTGTCCCCACCTTGCGTGGGGGTTTCAGCACCGAGCAATCCCTTTTTCCTATCTATCTATATATATATATATATATATATATATATATATATATATATATATATATATATATATATATATATATATAATTGGTGGATCTCATGTTTAACTTCATTCTAACTGTACTTTACTTTTCGCTTTTGTACGAAGATCTATATAACTACCTGTTAAGATTTATTCACCGAAACACTTAGAATGCTGTTTCTGGAAAAAATTATACTTGCCACTTGATGTCTAGCTTCTTAGTGTTTCTTTATCCATTATATCTAATGCTTTTAGGCAGACAATCTGATAAAATGACAAATTTTCTCTTCAGCAGTACACCCTGTTAAGGAGTGGAAGCCAAAATCGACAAAGAAGTCACCCGCCACCGATGCAGATAACAATATAGCTGATGCTGCATCTCCTTCAGCTAGCAACTGTGAAAATGCTAACGCATCAGATGTAAACAGGTTGTCTGAGAAACTTTCACAAGCTAACTTGCATGAGGTGGAGCATGTTATTATTCCGGAACATCTTCGTGTGCCAGAATATGAGCAGACAAAGTTAAGGTTTGGCAGTTTCACATCTGGCTTGGATTCGGAACAAGTACCTGCCTCGGCCCCACAAGACACTGAGCAACCAGAACAGTTAGGTGAACCTTTCCCAATTCTTTTAATCAAAGAGAAGATAATCTTGTAGCAAGCAGCGTTGTGGCAACAAGTTATTCCCTTGGAAGTTATTTATTATTGAATACTGATAAACTAGATTATGTAGTTCCTGTTATTTTTTTTATAGTTCAAATATTTTATTCAATAAACTTGATTCAGTAGTTTATGTCACATCAATTGTTATTGTGCTATGTGCTACCTAAGCATCTATATTCTTTTTATATGGTGAAATAGTTTGCAAGCTTGCAGTTTTATTGTCATAGCATTTGGTTTTTAGATTCTTATTAGGTACATTTATAACTCATTATTTTTGGTTTACGTTTGACAAATTCTAATCATACATTCTTTTGTTTTACTTTAATAATTATAGCATGTCATTTCTGAATGCTATTCTTGCACTCTGGTACGTTATGTGGGTAATTTAGAGAATATGGCTTCCTCTGACAATCCTTTTGTTATGTAGTTTACAAGAATCAGTTCAACAGGTCAGTGAAGATGATAGTTTGGATGCTGGGCATGATGACATGGATGAGCAAGCTAGATCTTCACAACAACTGTCCACGTCAACGGCTGAGATTTCCTTGCCCCCATCTGAGGATAGTGATCGGATGAGTGGGCAAGTAGAGAATGATGATGGCCTGGGCTTAGTTCAGAGTGACACTCCAGTTGGAGCAGCAGATGGTGACAGTACCCAAATCACCTCGACTTTGACTCCTTTTTCGGTAATGATGCTTCACAATCACATGGCTGAAGGATTTTTTATTTGACATTTTCTTTGCTAGATTATTTTATAGTGAAGTTGCAATTCTCGTTTCCAGAGTTTTTTTGGCATCGTCCATGACACGTAGAACTTGAATATTTGCAGGCTTATGGTCATGAAGATCCTAATATGCATACAACCAATGAGGCCCAGTTATATGGACTGGTGGAGGCTAATGTACATCCGCAAGTATTAGCTTCCTCTTCTCAGGTAAATGTTATATTGGAATCCAGTTGCTATTGGTCTCCTTGATTGTATTACTTTTCGAAGTCACCAAAAAAATTATTTTTTTGGGTATAGTTGGCATTTTCAAAATACAACTTCAAAAACTAATTCCTACTATAGTATTTGTAGAAATATTAATGTTACAATATTTAGTACTTCTGTAATCAAACAAACACATTTTCATATGGTCAACTTAAATGATCCTAAATATACTGGTGGAGAAATATTGATGTTGACTGCTTGTATCCAAATCAGCATATATCCTAACTGGAGTAATATGGATGTAATCTGTTATTTACTGCTTACAATCCCTTACTCTCATCAGGGGTACACTTCAGAAAATCCGGAAGCAGATAATGCTGTGCAAGTCTTCAGGATGCCAGAACCTAATGTTCACTCACAAGTTCTCCCTTCCACATCTGAGGTAGCACTGTATTTTGATTTTTAACTGCTCTCCTGTAGTCCTTTCTGTATTATTATTACTTGTAATCATTTGGATATATTCTTTAGGCAGCGTAATTTATAGTGCCCACCTTGTAGTCTACTAGTCTTGGCCCATCATCATGTTGACCAGGGCTGCTAATGAGTCCAGTTTTAATCCACTTACCAGATTTAATAATCTCTACCTAGTTTTCTTGTCGTTGGACTCATTGCTTATAAAATGGTTCTGCTGCAAGGAGTTCAACACAGGACGCTTTGCTGGTTTGTAGTTGAGGAAATTTGTTCTGCTTACTTTGAAATAAAATTCAAGAAGTCAGTCTTGTTTTTTGCACTTGGACTTTGTGACGCTTGGACTTTTGCCACAATTTCTGTCTTCTGTTTTCCTAAAACACTCTTCTATTCACTGTTGATCACAGTATAAATTCATAACCTGTTTGGCCGACTAAGTCACTCAAGTATGTCTCACTACACTCACACACATAGTGGAGGTAGAACTTAGAAGAAGCGGAGAGCAGAGCACACACAATTGAACATGCTTGTGAATGGTGCTGTTTCAACTGAGGCTGCTGCCATCCCTCTCTCTCTCATATATACATGTCATAGCAAAAGTACATGAAAGCCATCTCCGAATTCTACCAACTAACAGGGTCAAACTGCCCATACTACTTGAACTAAAATCTACAATACCTGCTACTGTTCTACAAACAGGCAGAGATGAAAAGAAAGGAGCAGTCCCTGTTCCTATACTCCTATGACAAAAGAAAGAAGAGTGGAGAGCAGCTGATTATCTAACATAACCTTGCATTCTAAGAAAAAATAAAGACAATTTTGCTACCTCTTTTGTGTAATGCTGTCTTAGTGAATCTCATGATTAAATTGTGACATCTGTTGCAGGCCCTAAATCCACAGATTGTGAGCAACAGCCCTGTTCCCATCTCTTCACAGCAGCAGCATATCTCTCAGCAACAAGCTGCCGCACAGATGTACCCTCAAATGCATCTGCAACATTTTCCAAATTTCATGCCATATCGACAACTCTATTCTCCAGTTTATCCCATGCCTATGCCAAACTATTCGCCAAATGTCCCTTATCCATCGAATGGAAATAATTATCTTCAGATGCCCAGTGGAGGTTCACATTTAACTGCAGGAGGCGTGAAGTATGGAGTTTCACAGTATAAACCAGTCCCATCTGGTAACCCTTCTGGCTACGGAAATTACACTCATCCAGCTGGTTTTACAATGGGTTCTCCGGGTGTTATTGGAGCTGCAGTTGGTGTTGATGATGTCAATAGGATGAAATACAAGGACAACATTTATGCCTCAACTCCACAGGTACAATTTACAATTTTTTGAATGCTATTAATTCTCAAATTAGAGAGATGGGTATCTTTTTTCGTTTTGTAGTACTTTAATAGGACTTCCTCTTTACTTTCTTTGTTTTTTATGGGTTGAGTACTTTATCTCAGAGGTGCCCGTCTTTCCCTGTAAAAGTAAATCAGGTGGGAATGGTGCCATTCTCTTCCTAATAAGAGAATCTGATAGCGAAGACATCTTTAGGCCAATAGTGTTCATGGTTTCTGAGTTCGGTCCTTTCATTTTACTAATTTGAGTATCTTCCACAGGTCGAGACATCTGACATCTGGATTCAGCCAGCTAGAGAGATGCCACCTTTGCAGGTTCCTTCATATTACAACATACCAGGTCAAGCAACGCCTGGTGCTTTTGTGCCAAATCCAGCAAATGCATCTTTCAATGCTACAGCTCAATCCTCTCACGCGCAGTTCCCAGGCTTGTACCATCCTCAGCAGCCTCCCTCTATTGTAAGTCCGCACCCCATGGTGCATCAACAGGTGCCATCGGCCATTGGTCCCAATGTTGGGGTCGGGGTGGCAGCTCCAGGCCCGCAAGTTGGGGCTTATCAGCAACCACAGCTTGGTCATATGAATTGGAGACCCAGCTTTTGAAGAAGGTTTCTTAATTATCTGTAATTAGGGGGGTCACAAGAGCCTTTATGTAACAACAGTAGGCTCCTTTTAACAGGAAGCACCTTTGTTTTTAGTGCAGCTCTTTCTGATCTATTTAAGCTATAACAAGGTTTTTGTTAGCTTTTCCTTCCCCCAGATGAATTCAGTATCCCATCTGAACTGGTATGATGTAGATTTGTGAGTTAAACATTGGGCAAGATCTCGCATGAGCACCAAGGTTGAGTGCTTTCCATTTTGTTCTATTGTTTTGTTTCCTTATCTGATTTATGCATGCATAAGGTTGTGAATTTTAGGTTTTTAGCAGTGCAAGTGGCATTTTAGTGTGTGCTGCTATCGAATGCAATGTGGTAACCTGGTCAGGGTTCTTTGTAACTGGGGCTGTCCATGTCATAATGATCACGTACATTTTATGATTCCTTGGAACAACAGTTTACAACCTAATTGCGTGTGGAAATTTTCTGTGGTACCTGGTACCTGAGGATTTTACTTCTGTAGTAGGCTAGTCTGTATGTAGTTGGAGACTATTGTGCACTGATTTAGTTGTCCTGGAGTATTATGTATCAGGATCTGAAAGTTCAAATGGGCATGGCGGAACAAATTATGACATTACAGTTGTTCCTACTTTTTTTCCCATAATCTCGGCAGTGAACTCGACTAACATTTGTGTGCTTGTTTATTTCTTGCTTGCTGCGTTTCATGTGCACCCCTTTTTTGGCATACAAATTTGTTCAGTATCTGAGGGGTGAAAAAGGAATGGCTCACTGTTTGTTAAGCTTGTGGGTTTTGTTGGCCCAAAAGTGAAGATGCACTGCTCGCTGTATTGTGATTCTTTTCTTGTCTTTGAAAAGAAGTTAAAACAACGGTTTGTAATAAGTGTGTATGTTTTGGAGCGTATCCATCTATTGATCAATGTGTACTTAATGCTGCCACGGCGTTTATTGAACTGATCGTTACTCATGATTGAAATGAAATGATACGGAACTATGTATCAGATGTAGTGTCAAAGCTAATTTAGGTCCACTTTTAGCTGGCCGAAAACGAAAACAAGCAAAAATACCAAGGGCTTCATTGGCGAATTTAAAGGTCCTCTGCCGCGTCGCCCCGGTTCGCCTCTGACCTCTCTCCTTTGGGGTGGTTAGGCAATCCCAACGCAACACGCTCTGTAGCAGCTGTTGCCTCCACCTCGGCGTCTAGCGTCTAGATCACGATGAACGTTGGTTTTGCAAAGTGACAGAGGAACCTGTAGACTTGTAGAGGCAACTATTGCTTCATCTGACAAAAGCCAAAGCTAGTCCAGTTGGTTGAGGTACCTCTCGGGTCCTGAGTTCGAACTTTCATGGGGTGGATTTCAGGCTGACGGTAAAAAAATCTCCTCGCTCGCCCCAGGCCAAAGCATAGGTTAAGATACGTCCCTTCTCACAGGTGACGGCTCTCTGTGTATGGATGGGACGGGAGTTCGAAGATTTTCTCGGTCTGTACGAGAAGACCTTCTTCTTAATCATAGTACCGTGGAGGACGGTCATGACCCCAACAGGCCGAGTTTTTTTTTCATCTGACAAAAATACAGAAGCACCTATTCTGGCTTGCGATCTAGAACAAAGAATCTTTGCCACACGATTTGTTCTGGTTAGCAGCAGCTTTATGCAGCGAGTATAGAATGATGGGATCACAAAAAAAAAAAAAGAGTTAGCTTGCATTTTGCAGATTGATAGGGCCTATTTGGTTCATGTTCAATTCCAAGGTTGGTTAGCTTTTTGAACCAGGTTAGACTTAGCCAGGTTGACACGAGCCAATAGCCACTTATTTGGTTGGAATGATTGCTAAAGGCTGGCTCAGTTTTAGTTTGTTTGGTTGTTTGCTTTGGCTTACGTGGAATCACCCTATTCTAAGACCGATAAGTTTTAGCCGTTGACACATTTTGTCGAACACGTTAACTTCGCCATGGCCACTGCAACACCATCCTCCATGTCGTGCTCCTACTCTGCCTCCCCCGTAGCTGCTCGAGCGCGTGGTAAGGAGGCGCAGGATCCGCCGAAGCTGCTCGAGCGCGTGGTGGTCTCCGAGGTCTGCGCAGAGGTAGTCGACGGGCGCGCCGGCGGCCACGGCCTCGGAGCTGGGCGACTGCACGCGGCAGAGCAAGACGCGGATGCGCGCCGGCGGCGAGCCCGAATGCCTGGTGGACTTCTGGATGCAGGACACGCTGCGTGAGATCGACGAGGCGGCGGCGGCGGGGCGCCCTCCGCCCGTGCACACCGACGACGAGGAAAGCCAAGGACCTCGCTCTCCACCAGGCTTGGGCGCGGACGCTGGGGAGCTCGGGCTCGGTCGAAAGTGGCCGCCGGAGATCTGGAAGGAGCCGCAGTCGAGCTCGGACGCCGGGGACACTCGGGCTCGAGCTTGGGCGCGGACGCCGGGGCTAGTGACCATCCTGCGCGGGCGGAGGAGATGCAGCTGTTGACGTTGCCGCTTGAGCCAGCGACGGGGAGGAGGGAGACGAGGAGGGACAGGGTGGTGCGCGCTACGGTGCTCTGCTCCACAAGGAAGACGACGACGACCGGCTGCGGGAGGTGCGGCGGTGCGATGCGGAAGAGGGCGGGAGTAGCGGGAGGTGATGCGAATCCATCGATGGCTGGCCAGGGCCTGGCCCAATCTCGTTTTCCTGGAGCCCTTGGTCTCCAAAGTGATTTGATTGGACCTGGCTTCGAGCTATTTACAGGCAACTAAAGAAGTTAGACTTCCTAGAGCTTGGTCGTGGTTTAGCCACCAACCAAACAGGCCCATAGTCTCGAGTTTGTTTGAGACTACTAATATTTTTAGCCTGTGTTGGTCTTGTTTTTATGCGGTGGCCAGTTACCATTATATATAGATCTCTTATTTGGGATGATGATGCGGTGGCCAGTTGCCAGCTCTTATACGTAGATCGCTAGTAGGTTACAGTGGTAGAGGATTGGAGTCTCCTACCTATATCGAGTTTCTAGTAGGTTATACGCCCTATTCGTTTGGCTTATAAGCCATACTTTTTTAAGTCAACGAACGGTATTTTTTTCTCATAATAAATCAGTCAATAATACTTTTAGTCATAACTTATCAGCCAAGCGAACATGGCAATAGTTTCTTTAGGGTTTGGTTCCTAGTAAGAGATGATGGCAAATGGGAATATATAAGTCTCTAGTTTTTTCCTATCTTGATGATGTCCAATCCATCGTCCACAGTCAAGATCATGACAGTGTAAAGCAGTTGTCTAGTTTTGATGTGGTGACTCCAATCTCCTCTTCCTGATTATTCTACAGAAAATAACATTGGTAGTCACAAGTGATTATTTTGGTGTTTAATGCCTTGTCTGACAAAGTTGGTAGGTGTCTCTTTTTCTTATTTTCTATTTAATAATACAAACTGAAGGAAGAAAATAGCAAGAAGGGTTTGTATTTTTTTTTGAGGTTGTCTATCAACTTGCCCTTCTCTGACACTGACCATGATTTTAAATAGCGGGCTAAACTTAGTGACAACCTTCTCCTAAATAAAGCTATAGCAGGATATAGTTGAAGTTACATCATTTAACGGTTCTATAGAAAACATGAGAAAATTTTACTAGTATTTTAAAGAGCGAGCTATGACATTTAGGATTTGGCTTTAACGGTAGCCTCTTCTATGACCTATAAATAAATAGATAGATACAAAGATGGATAAGCTGTACGTGAATATAAGTAATTTTACTTTCTGGTGAATCACAAGTCTTTGATTTGGCACGGGTACTCGTATTTTTTTGGATTTATTTCAGAATTTAACGGCGTTGTGCTTTCAGTGGTAGGCGACGTTCCCGTTGACAGCGAGGCGCTTATGGTGATTTCGTCAATCTCGAGATGTGTCGGCACAGTCTTTCGTATGTGCTCATAAGGATAGGGTTTACGTACGTGTATTCATAGGGGTGAATGTCCATGCGTGTTGAGCGTGTCCCTGTACTTGTGTATTTCGTAAAAAATTTTTGGAGAGGAGCTAAACCATTTCAGCAATATTTGCTAAGTTTCAATAGTAGATCAAGTACGTGTATCTGCTGACAATACAATTTTTTGTGCAGGTGTGTGGTGGCCTCGCACCGTCACATACTTTTTTTTTTCCACAGTCGCCAGGCCCCGCGATCCAACGGGAGCTGGAGAGTCCAGAGCCCACAGCTCAACCCGCAGCCCAACAACGACCCCCGAGCAGGAGCGGCGGCGGCGGCACAACCCTCTCCGGCAATCGGCATGGGCACGCGGGAGGTGTACGAGGAGAAGCTCCGCAGCGGCGCGCACCTCCACCGCGATCCCACCATCAACCCAGGCCTCGGCTCGCCTCGGTGCCCGCGATGCTTCTCCCTCCTCAACCCCACCGCGGTGCGTCTCTCCCCGTTCCCTTTCCCTTCCCGATTCCCCGAGGCGCTTCCTTGGAGATGTTTCTGACCTGTTCTTATATTCTGCCCGTAGGGAGAGAGGGACTGGGCCATCACCTCCGTCCTGCACGACGCCACCGCCGTGGTAACACGCGATCCCCCGCTCGCTCTCACGCGGATGCGAGATTCGTGTGGTCTTTGCGCCACCGCTTTAGGAAAATTGCTGCCAACTTGTGTGCGATTTGTTGTCCTGTTTGTGCTGTTGTTGTAGGCTGGCTCCGGTGCCGGCGCTTTGCTCAGTGCTGTGCACGGGTTTAACACAGGTATCTTCCAGTTACTTGTTTGGTTTTGGGATTGGATTAGTAGGCATCCAGGTTGGTACAAATTGATATTGTTTTGTTGTTTCTTTGGAACATGTATCCCTTTTGTCCAGAAGCATGTGAAGGGACCAAAGTGGCTGCAGTTGCTCGTTGGGGTAAGTCTTGGCTTTTGTTTATGGCTATACCTTACATGTTCTATTGTGATCTATCTTAGATAGCTTACTAAAGTTTGGTGTGAATATTGATCTAGTAGTCTGATCCAATATTTTACATGTGTGAAGCCTAAACCATTGGGTAAAATGATGATCTTTTGCAAACAAATTCTCAAGGAAAAACTCTACTTGTTTAGTATATCTGCGTAATCAGCTTTAAGAAGGATATGTTAATAAATGAATGTCTGGTTCTCTTGATGTCAGGATCAACTCAACTACAAACTATATGGTATCGCGACATTGGAGGATTTTGAAAAAAATACAGAGTAGTATTTCAAGGCAAAGTAATAGTCAAACTCAGATATTTGATTGCTTGCATAGTCATTTCTCCTGACCATTTTTAGTTTATCTTTAAAAACATTGGACTGGGGGAGCTGAACATGGCATTCTACACATTAAGGTTTAGGGAGCTAACCTTCCTAACACATTCAGGTTTTGTTATGTGGTTACCGGTATTGTGGTTTGTCGAGTCCTTGATTTGGCCATTTGCTGTCAGTGCTGTCAGGGGCAATGTAATGTTGAAGTTACCTTGTGCCAATGCACCAGGGTAATTTTTTTTGTGCCATTAAACAGCCTCATTTTCACCATATGTTTCAAAAGAATTGTGTATGCTACTTAAACAGTGCACCGGGTCATTTGCTTATAGCTCCGCCCCTGTTTGCTGTCCTGTGTTTATGTGGCAATTGCTAATAGCTTTTGTAGATTGTAATTTGGTTGCTATAGAACTTTGAGAAAGGATGCTTTGTTACGATCTGTTCACTTTGGAAATTGCTACTTCTGTAGGTGCCACCGCTGCTGATGTTCTCAGGTGCCAGTGCTGTATTTGGTGGTAAGTCTCCAATAGCTATATTTGTTTCTAGAAAATGCAATAAGCTCTATGAAATTGTCCGCGCAAGTTAGTTTGACTTTTTTGAGCTATGATCTGATTATTAAACCAATGCTTCTTTATGTGTTTGGACTGGGAATCTATGCACATCTATAATTGGAACATGAAAATTTTTTGCATTCTTTGTGTATAGACTATAGCTTATAGGGGTACAGAAACAGATACGGTTTGTCATCAGGGTTGGATTAGATGTGGTTTCATTCCTGTCAAAACACTACATTAACTTCTCCATCTTGTTCTTTCCAAGTCCACCAACCCAGACATATGTATCTAAAAATATTTTTGTCTAATAGCTTAATCTTAAACAATTTGGCTTGTAAACCTCATGTTTATTGTTATATAAGATACTATCATAATTGTTAAGAGTCCAAACAAAGCAAGTTGAGGTTCAGGTAAAGTTTGAAGTTCCTTCCAAAGTTATTTCTTAGCCAATAGAACAGGATTGCTTTTCTTAGCCAGAATGCCATGCACAATGCACTAGGTTAGCTGTTTTGAACAAATAGGAGGGATGTAAATTGCAATCTTGTACAGTCGAGATGAAATTTATTGTGGTATTTGAATCATGCATGGTAGCCATTCCAATGAATGTTTTTCCTCGAGGGATTGAACCGGAAGTGTCTCAGGCTTCCAGCTCTGTGCCAAAGTTCCTTGAATGTCTTAAAAGTCTCTTAGACCTCTGTTGGAAGCACATCAACAAGGCGAAGAGAAACATTCAACTTCTTTAGAGGAACTTAAATTTGGAGAGCATGCCAAATTGGACATAGCAAATCACGGCTTCCATGCAATGCATGTTTTTTGACAGACTTGTTAGCAAACTTGATTTGTTTTTCTCTACTGCATAGTACCTAATGATATATTACTTGATGCAGCATATGCACTTCCAAGGTTTGCTCAGCTCACCGTGACGTCTTACTACGCTGCATCAACTGGCTCGCAGTACACGGCTTCTCAGATCACACGGCAGATCGAAAGAGCTCATTTCCAAGAATCCGACGAGAAATCTAGATGAGTTGGTTGGCATTCAGTCTGTTCTATTGGTCCCATGTACATGGTATATAGGAGTAAGTACGTTTACTGCTGCTTTTGTCATGTTGCAGAACAGTACTAGTTTTACTGTGTTTCAGACAGCACGCAGTGAATAAAATTAAATTGTCTTGGCCCAACTGTCTGTATTCAGGTCTTGGGTTAAAATGTTTTTTTTTCACTTAGTAAAATATTAGCTTTATTTATGCGCGGAGAACTGAGACGAACTAGTAAGACCGTAAGAATAAACAGTAGTAAGTACTAAACTATAAGGATGATACATTGCAGATCTGCCTACAGTGCACATAAACGCAAATGGCTAGTTAACACTGGGTGTCCTCATCAGCTGTCATCAACGATGCAATCTAAATATTGGAAACAAATCCTACACCAATCACCAAATTCTCCAATTCTTGATCAGACAAACGTCCAAGTCGATCCGCGATCGGGAGGAGAGTGGCTAGATCTAGCTGCCCGGCGGCGGTATCCCGGCGTAGTACAACCACGCCCTCTCCTTCTCCCGGCGCTGCTTGCGCAGGTACCACTCCCGCCACTGCATGAACTCCTTGGTCCGCCGCGCGCCGTGGTCGGACCCGGCGGCGGCGGCGGGCGGTCGCACCACCGCGCGCCTCCGCCTTGGCCGCGGCACGCGCGGCCCCGGCCTCTTCATGCTGATCGCGACGACGACCCCCACCATCATCGGCGCGGGCGCCGGCGCCGGGGCCGCACCCCTCCCTCCGTCTTCTCCCACCGCGACGAGATCGTTGACGTCGTCGGACGAAGAGGAGGCCGGCGCCGTCTCCACGCCCGCGCCTTGTCCCGTGTCCGTTTCGCCGGCGTCCATTTGTTTCGTAACCGGCGGCTACGGCCCTTGGGTGAACCACCTACGTCTACGTACTACTAGTAGTAGGCTCGGTCGACGCGTGTCACGTTTTATAAAGCCCGCACGGGGTCGGTTGGGGCTGCCCTGTGGCGGTGCGTGCGTTTCGATCGGGGTCGGTTGGGGTTGTCCCATCCAAAGTCCAAACCCGGATCGACGCCGCCGCCTCTTCGTTCTCCCGGATTTCAAATCTTCAGCATCGTGCGTAACCGATCATCTTTCCTCTTTTTTTTTTCGGATGCTTCACGTTCGCCGCTCGCTGTATATTCTTTTGTGTCTTCTGCGAAAGAATTACACGCAAAGCAACACATCCGGCCGAGATTGACATATCTTTTATATACTATAGAGAGCCGTAAAGTAAGAGTACGTCACTGTGTAAGAGACTAATGGCATGTTTAATTTGCGGCGTGAGATGATCCGGAATGATCAGAACCTAATACCGAAGCTGCCACTGCTGTTTGGTTCCTGGCATGGAACTGCCCTGTCCGTCATCAGTTGATTCCCTGTAGAATTAAATTGCAAGCAATCGTAGAGGACGGACTCACTCCGCAAAAAATGTCGGATGGACCCATTCATCTATTGTCAGCGGGTTCACTTGACGCCGGATGGAATGAATCGGTAAACCAAACACGCTGTAAGCGCACGAGCATATAGGCTAATACTCTTAGTGGTTTTAGTACAAATAAAGTGGTTCACATAGAATAAAAAATGTTAAAACTACTATTTACACGATGCAAACTATCACTACTTGTGGTTTTTACAGAAACTTTTTCTTTTCATCATGCCTTACTTTTATTTCTTCTCCCTCTTCTTTTTTGTTTAGCATGGACCACCTTCTCTCCTCTTAGACATATGTAGCTTCTGCAGACCAATATGTACAAAGCACCTACTTTTTATATCCAACCCTACGTGGCCCTTAGAGCTACCGGTAAAAGCACGGCATTGGGGAAGGCCCGGGAGTCGGAGTATTAAACCGGCCTGTTAGTTTCAGTGAACCAGTGGACGTGTGCGTACGATGTAACCGCGTCTTCGTTCGTTGTACGACGGAAATCAAGGCCACCCATCAAGATGCCGCGGTGAAGACGGATCGCGCGCACGTACATCGATCGTATGAGAGTACGCAAGTGACCCCTTCCATCCAATTCCAATAATGCAATACTCAAAAGACAAGAAAGCAGCATTGGGTCGAGTAAGGCCGCACACGTACGTTGCAGTACGCGTCTACGTGCACGTACGTACGTGTTATGAGTATAATCTATGACGGTAGTACTAGCTATACTTGTCTTCCATCGTCAACGACACAATAATAACGCCGCATCATCCCGACACCGCGTCGATCGAAGTGCATGCATAATGATCACGAGTACTGCTCCTGCGTACAATATGGCGTGCCGTCAGCACCAGCGCGCGCGCGCGTACGTATATCCACTGGCACGTAGTACAAACTTTTATGCCAGGCTCTAGCTGGCGCTCACACGTACGTACGTGTGCGCCAAAAATAAAACGACGCCACATAGACGACCACGCACACGCAGCACGCGCGAAGCGGTAGGTTGTCGCTCCGATCCGGCCAGAAGTACGTGATGGATGCATGGATCGATCGATCGTCCGGATCGAACGTCTTCCGAGGTCGACGCATCGATCCATCGACGGAGTGCCGGTTCGTTCGAAGAAGCGTACGTACGTGCGCACAGCATGTGGAACGGATGCACCGGCCGGCGCGCGTATAGCCAGCCAGCGACGTGCATATGCGCTGCACCCCGCTGGTTTATCTGCAAGGTCAGGCGGGAGGCCGGTACGTGATGAGAGGATCTCGGACAGTACGTGTGTGCTGTGCACGTGTTATTAATACAACGCATGCACACGACACGCCGGCCACGGCAATGCCGTAACTGTTGTCTGTTGGCAGGTGAAACCAAGTGCGTGTACATAATCAGTACACGTCGACATTCTGCTTCTGCGCTTCTAGAACTCTGCTATATATATGTGTGAATATACCATCGATCGATGAGCTGAGTTTCGGTTGATACTGGCCGTTTATACTTTTGGCGAACTCTATTTATACCGGTGGTATTCTTAACTTACCGTCAATATGAATAATTTATAAATAACCTTTTCGTATCAAATTAGATGAAAGCAAACTTTATATCAAAGTTGCGGTGCTCGAAGAGATTCGTAACTTTTTAGTTAACGGATTTTCATTTGAAATCATTGAAGCTAGAAAATGTTGTTAAAAGTTTTCATAATTTGAAATTCTTTTTTGCTGAATCAAGAAACTTTAGATGGAGAAACGATCTAAGTTATAAAGATCTGTAACTTTTAGGTGACTACTTTTTTATTTAAATTCAATAAGCATCTTAAATATTTATTACAATATTTACTAAAGTGAATGACTAAAAAAGGTAGGTTGGATCAGTCGCTTTGTAGTAACAAACAAGTACCACCAGTAGAAATGGTTCTGTAGTAGTTTAATAAACGAAGATCGTGCGTGTAGACATGTTAGTCAGCGGCGGTTAGATGCTTCTACCAGTACCAAGCCTGGTCCCGTCGACGGTACGTTGGAGTAGCTAGTGCCCTTAATCCATGATTATTGCCAAGCACGATCGATACAAGCCGATAATATTATTTATATGGCTGATTACACGTGACCACATGTAAATGGGAAGGACAAGGAAAGAACTGAAGAAAGTCATGCATGGATGTTACATTTACCGCCACTTACCATCTCACCTCGGATCTTTCATGGTAACCAGAGCTTAATTAAGATCCTACCAACCTTCCTCCCATACCATCATCATCTAGCATTGTTAGCCTAGTCTAGTCTAACGCCATCAAGGACAATCATGCTATGTACGACTGGACTATAGAAGACACAGGCTAGGTGCCCAGGTACTCGCTGCTCTCTGTTGTGTGCGCTTGGTCGGACATGTATGTGACTACTGGCGCTTCCGGTGTTCGGTGTTCTTGCCGCAGAGATCAATGGTAAGGTCCGTTTGGAATTTAGACATTTTCATATTTAATTTAATTTAGAAAATCCATAGCAAATTGATGACAACATGTATATGCACGTGTGTGATATTACTACTAGCACTAGTAGCAAATATGAACATGAACAACATACAGATCATAGCAGAAAAGATATTGAATTTAACAAATTGAAGAATAGAGTTATACCCAGCAGAGGAACCCATGCTCAAGGCACCGGCAGCTCCACACACTAATCGACATAGTGCGTTGCTCGATGTTGCGGACCACAGTCGATGCAGGACGGTGTTCGCGGTGCAGTCCCTCGAACGTCCTCTGGGAAGTAGATGATCTGAGTAAGAAGAAGACGACGTTGACAGTCACCAGGAAGAAGCGAGCAGTCGTGAAGACGCTCCCCAAAAACCTGATCGCCTGCACACCCGAGCAGGTGTCACAGATGCAGACGGCGGTTCTGGATGCCTGCTCTCCTAACTCTCTGTGCGCGCAGAGGATCGGGACGAGAAAACTTAGAAGGCAGCGCAGTAGTGAGAAATGGAAAACAGTAATTGACTATCGTAGGATTTTCCAAACTAGGGACTTCCAATGATAGTTCTATTATTGTTGTTTCTTTTCCCAAGAGGATTGGTACATATATATAGGGAGGAGAACTCCCTACCTCCACATCAACTAATAATATGATACTAATTGATGTTGCACCTTCCACCTCTACTCATAGGCTTAAACAATAAAACCTATTAGGAAACACATATATTGGACCTTTGAGATTTATTAGAATTTCTTCATATGGATTTAGGGAATTTTATCCATTTAAATTCTAACAATCCCCACTAGATCTCAAAAGCCCAGTATAGATATTTTCCTTCTCCCACTACTGTTTATATACCAATGTTTTTCAGCAGAGACTGTTAAGTTGAACATCCGCCTAGAGTTTCAAGCTACCCATCCACAACTTGAACAATGGACTACGCCTTGAATTGCAAGTTTTGTGTAAATGAGTTTCACCTAAACTCTTTATTGATACTAGGTTGCCATAAGCATCTCTCTGGTTGAAGCATATAAGTCATACTCCCAGGCCTTTCATGAGTATCTAGAGATCACACAAATCTCATAGACTGTGACTA